CCCGTATCAGTCCGGTGTCTACAGAAACAAACACGGGAGCGTTGTCATTTTCGTCATCCACTATAATGGTCACCGTTTTCTCAGCTGACAACCGAGTTTCCACTGGCATGGCTTGGTCAATCGCCGTGACAGTTAGTCTATATGTATCCACGTATTCCCGGTCGATAGGCAACACAGTGCTTATCACGCCCGTCTTTTCATTTATTTTAAAACTTCGTCTATCGTTATCTGGTTGTTGTTGTGTAATAGAGTAGTGTACCAGACCATTTAATTCAGAGTCCGGGTCGTCGGCGACCACATGCACAATGGACGTGCCAGGTTCCAGATTTTCAATAATTTGTCGTACAATGGCCGTGCTAGGGAACTGAGGTGGATTGTCGTTACAATCCAAAACAGTTACGTGGAATGCTAGCGCGGAGGACAGCCTGGGATTGCCATTATCGTAAGCAGAAATGTTTAATACGTATGCGCTGATGTCTTCATAATCAAGTCGCTTGTGCAAATACAGTACTCCGGTGACAATATCAATATGAAATGTATCTCGTCGATTGCCAGATACTATAGAATACCGTACTTCACTATTTACGCCTAAATCCGGATCCGTAGCACGGAATCGAACTAATTCCGTGTTCACTGTAGCGTTCTCATAAATGGACACGCCCAACGGAGGAGACTCAAATTTCGGCGGGTTGTCGTTATCGTCTAATACTTCTACGGTGACTGTTGCCGAAGCGTTAAGTTGCACTGTCGTGCCGTTATCGTGTGCAGTAACACGCAATATGTACGATGCACGGGACTCCCTGTCCAAAAGCGCATTGATTGTTATCATACCAGTTCCATTGTCAATTCTAAATTTGTCATCATCCCCGTCGTCCATGGTGTAATGCACAGCACCGTTTTGTCCATCGTCTTCATCAGTTGTGTATACCCGCAACACGTGCGTACCAACTGGTGATCCTTCTGAAACTTGAACTCGATAGGGTTGTCGGAAAAATCGTGGTCGATTATCGTTTACATCGTTAACGTAAACGTTTACCTTAGTTTTATCATAAAGTGGATGTTTTCCGTTATCCGCAACTGTAGCTTCCAATGTAATAACATTTTGGCCTGTAGCCCGGATCAATTGTTCCCTGTCAAATTCCCGCTGAGTCCTGATGAACCCGTTTTTCGGGTCAATCCAAAAGTCCGTTTTACAATTGATTAGAGAGTATGTCAACTCAGCGTTTCGACCCGTGTCCCGGTCAGAAGCTGATAATTTACCCACAAATGTACCAGCTGGCTCATTTTCGTTGATGTGAAAATCGAATGTGACATTGGCAAATTCCGGTTTATTGTCGTTCTCGTCGGTCACGTGTACGATGGCCACCACTGATGAACTACGAGCTGGTGTTCCAGCGTCTCGGACTACCACAGAAAGTGCGTAATAATCTCTACTTTCCCTGTCCAGACGATGTTTGATGTACAACATTCCATCCGGAAAAATTCCAAAATTTCCTTCCACGTCCCCTTCTTCAATGGCATATGATAGTCGAGCATTGGAACCATAATCTCCGTCCGTAGCTGTTAAACCGAAAAACCTACTATTAACGGCAGTAGCTTCAGAAAGTGACGATTCGTATGAAGTTTGATCGAATACAGGAGTATGGTCATTTACATCTTGAATAGTGAATAGGACTACATGTTTAGCACTAAGTGGGGGGTTGCCAGAGTCAGTGGCCATAATTTCGGCGGCTAGTACGGTGCCTGGGGCTGTATATACCGGCTTATGTAGATACACGATTCCAGACGATTCGGTGATACGAAACAAGCTGTCAGGTTTGGATACCAATCGGTAAGTTACCCGGCCATTCAACCCGACATCCTTGTCCTTAGCCCTTGCTACACACAATTCTTGGCCAACGGCAGTATTTTCATAAAGATCCACTTCATCGATTACCGTGACAAATGTAGGTTCATTGTCGTTTACATCCAAGATAGTTACATTTACCAAAGTAGTACCAAACTTCAGGCCAGACCGCGCTCCTATGCGTATACTGTAAAATGATTGATTTTCCCGATCGATTTTCTTCCATGTCGTTAAGACTCCATTTCGATCTACCCGGAAGTTTCCATTATCACCGTTCAGTATAAAATAAGCCACGTCGGATTTAGTGTCTTTAACTCGAACCCTACCCACTTGTCGATTTGAAATCGGATCCTCTTGGCCACTGTGGTCTTCGTAAATTTGAAACGAATATCCCTCAGTCGTGTCGAACTTAAGTGTTTCATCGGCATTTTTTATTATTTCTACAGATGCATCTTCAGCAGCTCTCCGACCATCTCTATCTACTGCTGTTACGTTCAGGCGGTATATGGATTTCGTTAGATCCCCACTGCTCTTCAAATATATCGATCCGTCACGTGCGTCAATATAAAAAAGGCCCGAGTCACCGCCACTAGCTAATCGATATTCAACGACTGCGTTTTCTCCTTCGTCAACATCATATGCTGATACCGTAAGAATATTGGTGCCGGTCGGATGATTGTCGCCAACAAATGCTACATATTGTTGTGGATAGAACACTGGATCATTATCATTGACGTCCAGCACATCAAGTATCACAGTAGCTGTAGACGATTTTGGCGGAGATCCTTGGTCTTTGGCTAATACTTTGATTTTATATTCCAGTACTTTTTCCCTGTCAAGTTGTGTTTTAGCAGTTAGTTGACCCGTCAACGAATCGAGCGCAAACGCACCCTTATACTTGTATTGGACTTCAGGGTGTAAACTATATGACACACTACCATTTGTGCCTTGATCGTGATCTGAAGCCGTCAACATGGCTACTAACGTATTTTCCGGTACATTTTCCAACATTTTAACAACAATTAATTCCTGAGTAAATTCTGGACGTTCGTCATTTTCATCCAAAACAATAACTTTTAATTGTGTGTACGCCCATTTGGGATTGGGGCCACCGTCTCGCGCTGAAATCTTTATCTCCGCGGCGCCCATTTGTTCGCGGTCCAGTCGGCCTTTGAGTGTTACCAGTCCGGTATCCGGATCGATGTCAAACCATCCAAAAGCGTTACCCGAAACAATTGAGTAGTAAATTTGAGCGTTTATACCGGTGTCTTCGTCTGTGGCCGTTATGCTGGCCACGTACGTGCCCACCGGCGACAGTTCGCTTAGCGTCGCCGAGTATTCACTCTTTTCAAATACCGGTTCATGGTCGTTAATGTCATTGACGTATATCAGCAGATATGCCATGGTGGTCCTGGCGGGGGTCCCTTTGTCACTGGCCAACACAGTCAGATTGTACTTGTTAATCTGCTCCCTGTCCAAAATGCCATGAACGCGAACAATGTAGAAGCTCTGCGACGATTCCAATCGAAAATGATTCAACTCGTTGCCAGATATGATTTCTATAGTCGTTTCACCGTTGAGCCCCTCATCGGGGTCCATTACAGACACGGCGGCGACCACAGAACCATTGATCGCATTTTCGTCTACCGTCGCGAACGCCGCGTTCGACGGGAAATACCGGAACCTAATTACCGGGTCGTGATCGTTGGCGTCGATCAAGCTGATGGTGACGTACGCCCGGCCGTCCTGTCTGGGTGACCCGTGATCTCGCGCATGAACTGTGAACACGCAGCTCTTTGGACACGACGCCCTAGGCTGCTGAGTATTTGGGCAGTTTTGTTGCGGACAGTCTGGAACTTCCGTCGTGTATATTGCACCTGTTTCCGAGTCAACGCGGAACCGATTGTCCGACGTTTCCGGCAAATAGTACACGATCCTGCCGTTTTCACCCAGATCGGCGTCCGTGGCCGTCACCTGTAGCGCGAACGTACCCGGCGGCGCGCTCTCGTTCAACCACGCACTGTAATCTGTGTGCGCAAATATTGGCGGGTTGTCGTTGACATCCAGTATGGTGACGTTGACCGTCTGGAAACCATACCTAGTGGGCACACCACCGTCGCGTACGGATATGTTGAGCTGGTAGAACGCCACAGTTTCCCGGTCCAGTTTTCCTGTGGTCTGTAGGTACAAATACGTGAGATCGCCGCCCGGGTTGGACGTGACATCCAACCGGAACTTGTTATCTACGTTGCCGGCAACAATCTGGTAATCGGACGATACGCCGTTGGCGCCCGCATCCTTATCCGTGGCTGTGTCCAGGAGCACCTTGTTGTCGGGCGCCGCACTTTCCGGGAACGACACGGATATGACCGGCTCCGGGAATTCTGGGGCATTATCATTGACGTCGGCCACTAGTATGCGAACCTCGATTGGGTAGGTAGGCTGGCTGGACAGCACAATCAGATCGTACCTGTCATTGGACAGCGACTCTCTGTCCAGTATCTGTGCCGTGGTTATCTCACCGGTGGTGGCGTTCAGAACGAATTCGTCGGACGGCTCGTTGAACCTGTACACGAACCCCGGCCTGACCGGTATCCGACCGACGGCCGTGCCCTTCGGTTGGCCCTCCAACACCTCCAGCTGCACCCGAGCGTTGTTGTCCACGTCGCCGCTGGCGCAAACCACCGACGACGGTCCTACCACCAACGCCAATACCATGCATATCACGGCGCGCCATGACATTATGCGAGGGATGACCCCTTTCACACCGTATCACCCGGTCATCACACTCACGCGAGCGAACCTAAGTACGTACGCTCTCACATAAGTACCACTGCACACTTTACTAACAACTACACTCACTGCACTACCGTAATCCATGTGCGGCGGCGGCGACTTCGACGACGATGACGATCACTCGGGTTCGGAAACAATGCGACGAGAGAGTGTACTATATTATTATTATTATAAAAAAAACGTAAGCGCAGAAGAACAGCTGAGTTTGACTCGAACGAACACGCGAATAAAATACGCACACGCGAACACTAGCGAACGGTTAAAAACGACAAAAAAAAGTATTAAAAATTTAAAAATCACGACCCGTCGTGTTGTTATAAAGATATCGCGCCCTGAACTGTACATGCAGGGTAGAAAACTACGGCGGACCGAAAACTACGGTGTACACACGCACGCGGTAAAACACTACTGCTGCACACACGTATGGCAAAACGGAACGGACGAGTGTGTGCACGTATACTGAAGACTGGTTTGGTACGGTCGGATCAGCGGCGGCGGCCGGCTCAGTCGGATCCGAAGTGGAAACATTCTTTCGGTCGGCCCCCTTCTGCGCGCGTTCCACACTAACCCCGCCGGCCACACGGCCATACTCATCGCCGCCCGCCCGCCCGCCCGTCAGAACCGTGTGTCCTCCGACCCCCGTCGACCCGCTTCGCATTCACGCGGCGGCGGAGAGCCCGTTTTTACCTGTCAAGATTACCCGCCGCCGGCCCTATGCTTGCGTGTGCGTGTGCGTGTATGTGCGTACGAGTGTGTACGTTCGTTCTGTTGTATACGGGTGTTTGCGTGAGAGTGTGTGTGCGAGTGCGCGCCGGTCGGTCGGGCCGGTCGTCGTCGTCGACGGCAGCGGCGGCGGCGGCGGCGGTGGTGCTTGAGTATTTTACTGCCGTTCGGATATACACGGCCCGGGTTCTAGTTGAAGGTATTCAAGATGGCTGCACCCCGTTCGCCACTCGCCCACCACCGGATCGCTCATATTATGTTTGTGTGTGTGAGTGTGTGTGGTGTGTGTGCGTGTGTGTTGTACGATGATGACGGGGGGATTCGCCGTGCCCGCGCCCGCGCTCGTTTCGTTCGTTTGCCCGCGCGCTCGCGCCCATTCATGCGAGTGCGTCCGCGCTTTGTGTCCGGTCATCTTGCACTATTTATTATTATTATTATTTTTTTAGAAACGGCAGTGGCATCCGAATTATAATATTATTATTACTGTAACCGAATAATGTTTCGCGCATCATTCGTACGTCGTACCATTTCAGCGAGTGTACATTACAATCGTCAATAATCATCATGCATAATATTATTATTATTCCTACCTGTAGCATAATAATGTATTAATAATATTAACATTAGTAGGTATACGTCGTAGCTGTATTATCCATATTATAAACTAGGTACATATAAATCCTATCGGAGTATCCACACTAAGTACCTTTATACCTACGGAGAACACATTATTTCAAACTAAGTTTTGGATGTGCACAAAATGACTTTTATTAGGTCCGGCTGTACGAGTGCATATACCTACTCCATAACAACCAAAAACAATAATACGGAAAACGGTATGGAATTCGTACAATCAAAACTCAACGACCGTAATCCAAATAAAAACAATAATTGCCGAATTTGATCGGAAAGATATACACACCTGTCTTTCGCCTGTGGTCCACTACAGCAGTCGGTACCCCTCCCGCCACCACTGCCACGGCCGCCGCCGCCGCCGCCACCATCACCACCAAATCCGCCGCCCAATAAACGTTTATGGGTGCCGACCAAACCGTCAATTATCGACGTTTTGTTTTTTAATTTTTTGTGTTTTGTTACAAAATACGCGTGTGCGCGTTTAATATTATATTTCATTTTTTGTTACATATTATTATGTATTAATAAATTATATTATAATATCGGCAATATTTTCGTATAAGACATCTATTTTCAAAAAAAAAAAAAAATCGTAAAATACATCAGCGAGCACCGTCCGTAATAACTTCAACGACGATTTTAGTTTTTTTCCACGGTATGCACGCGACGTTCTTGTACATAGAAAAAATAAAAATAAAAATAATAAAGTAAAATAATAAATACACAGCAACAATGTCGTCCGCGCGGCAGACAGATGGTGCCTATTCAATATTTCGTGTCCCATCTCTCTTAAGTATACGTATTTTCTGTGTAGAAGAAAAAAAAACACGTTGTTTGTCTATCAGGTAGCTGGTAGCAGAACGCACTTCTCGAGTACGAATCCGTGAAGAAACGTGTGCAGGCCGCTTACGCGCCGGGGGTTACGGACTCTCGTAACGAGCGTTGGAAAAATTCAACATCCAACGATTTGTACCCGTTTGGTCATTTGTCCGTCTGGCATTTAGTACACGCCGGGCCTGCTGTACAATCAGCTACGGATATAAATATTGTTTATATCCCGTTTAATATGACGTCGAAAGGCAATGTCTGATATTTAGCTTGCATCTGTATTTTATTATTTGTAAATATATTTTTGAAAATTACCTATCAATAATATTTCGGTAGGTAGGTAAATAGGTACCTCATAATATATATATTGTCACTTGTCGGTTAGGCGAAGGTCAAGACTCAAGTATTGGTTTACTCGGATAATTTATATGTTAAAGTGGACTTAATGAAAACTTATTAATGAACATAGAACAGACGTATATGTTTAAATAGTTTTTTAACAGTCACCTATATCTATTCTATATTATAATAATATTGACTATATTGTTGGTTGTTACAGATAATTGTATATTTTCTTTATTAATCACATGCGTTCAATAAAGTATATTTATTATACTTATTCAGTGAAAATAATTTAAAACTCATTAACAATTTATTATAATAACATTTTTGTTTTGCATTGCAATAAATAGTTCATTAGGTAGTTTTATATATATATTTATAAGTACCAATAATAAGTTTAATAATAATCTATTACACCTATAGTAATTTCGATTATATTATTATATTATTTTATTTTGGATATTTCATTTCCGTCGTGTTCACTGGTTCACTCAGTGCTTCAGTGATTGTATTTGTTTTTTTAGAATAATGAATTGCAGTATGTTCATTTATTTCGAATAAATAATTATTGTTTAAACGTTATTGGAACAATAGGTTTTGTTTCCTATTATTTATATCTGTGAGTTAGGTTTGTGGTAACTTAAAATAATAGAACAAAATATTAAATTTCAAAAATGGATAACATTTTTACTATAATTGCATTATGGAGAGTATTTGACATTTGACATTTGAAAAATATTTCTTCCTTAATAACTATTATACTATTTATACATATATTATATATGATGCCTATATATACTCCAATATAAGGACACACTTCAAATGACCTCTCAACAAAATTTAAAAGATTATCAATCGTAATAGGTATATTATAGTCTATAGTGTTTTTTTCTTAAATCTAACATAGGTACTAACCAAATATCACGTCACCTGAATTCAAAAGAATTTAATTGAAATTCAATTTTATTTTTTTTCACGTTTCATCGTGAATGAATTGTAAACATTATTTTATGAACAGGAACCCCCAAATATGTCAATTGCATGCCGTACCCGTACGTCTTTCGATATATTGGTATGTAGATGTGTGTGTGTGTGTATAGGTACATAAACTATAAGAATAACAAGTATATAGGTACTATATACCCGATGCCACAGTAATAGAAAAATTTGTGCTCGTACATCCACGTAGGCATACATATATATTATATATATATATAATGTGTGCAGCAATCGTAGGCCGTAACGTGTGTTGGGAAATTCAACATCTAACCTTTTGTACGAGACTCGTTTTGTTCATTTGTTTGTCCGGTATTTGGTATCCACACGTGACCGGTTAAGTACCATCATACAAACATTTTAGAGTTAATCGGTTCGATTATTTATTAGTTTCTCATTTTTATGCGCAGTCTAAATTTACCTCACATTCTAACAGGTGTAAAATTTTAACTTGCCATTTTTTGGTTGATTAATCGTAATCGATTTAGATTTTTATTTTATTTTTAATGCAAAATGAAATATACATATTAAATTTAAACGTATTCAAATATAAAAGCGTAGTCCTTATTACGGATGGGACAGTGCCAATACAAAAGACATACGCATATTTAAATTCAGAAAAAAAATGTAGGTAGGTATAACTGCACAGTGCACATACCTTACATATAAATATATAATATAATAACGTATTTACGTATAGGTACAGGTTTCTTCTGAATATTGTGCCCCCTATTTACACAAGTTTCAAAATACTGCTATTATTGTAGGTGGTTCTTTTATTCTCCAATGTGAGTAGAATGAAGATGTCATTTCAGCGTGCCTACTGATTGACATGCGTGATATTGTCACTGTATTCCCAAAAATACATGGTTTTGTGTGTAGTTAAGATAAAACACTATTTGTTACAAAATATAAAACACGTTTAACACTATCTTAATGTCTACATGGTTGATTAAATAAATATGGGTAAATACACCTATATACATATCAATTATAATATTGATTTCGGATACAGACAAGTCAATTGACAAAGAAACTATACTAACCATATTATTTTTCTTAGAGCAAATTTCAAACTTTTAATATTCCGTATTTTTGATATAATATATAAAAATATAACTTTGTTTCGATGTTTCATATTTAATTTTAAGTTTTTTTACAAAATTAGAAAAATTAATCTAAACATTGTTAGTCCATGCGTAATCGATAAAAATAATTTCGTAAATAATTGTTTACATCATTTTAAGAAGGGTAGATTTATAACATATAAGACAGTGTATTGTCTAACAGAACATTATACATCATAGGTAAGTAGGTACTATATTATTTTGTTGCTAAATTGACACTTTAATTTATAAACTAATTTATCACTTTAAAGTTTAAACCCATACCACCCATTCATACTTTTTTAAAAGTGATTATTAATTGTTTATCTTAAGTTTGAACTTATTAATGATATTAACATGATTTTTGACTGTTGTAAGTGATCTATGTTTATTGTAGAAAATAAATCCATGCATATTACATAATTATATTTGCAGCTTAGAGTCACGTTCACATAGAACAGCATATTATAATGGAAACAAAAAGTTTAGCTTAGCTTTTTACTATAGTAAATACCTACTCAATAATATATTATTACCACTGGCCAGTGAACGATTGAGTATTTTTGAATAAATGCTATTTTGCAGTTTTACTATATGTATATTGTATACACACACACACGACACACACACACACACACACACACAACATGGGTTGGCTCTCAGATGGAACATACTAGTTATAGGTTTAGGTATAGGTATCTACTCTCTTTTACTTTTGACAGAACAACAGGAATACATAATAATACGTGGGCGTTATCATTAGAAAGATATTACGAAAACACAACCCAATGGTCTCTGAATACTTGAACCATTAAAAAAAAACAGTTAACATAATATTATACTCTACTGAGTGGCCAACACTGTTATCAAATCTTATCTTTATATATATTTTCTTTATAGGCCATTGTTTTTTTTTAATACCATACGTAGGATACCTGTAGGTACCTATCTAATTTGTATTGATTTTTTTTACCAGCTATTTGATAATCAATACAAAGATTTAATGTGATATTTAAGTTTTACTAAT